TCTTTGTGCGATCATTCGTTTTTCGAATTCACTGTGAGTCACCTGATACGTCACTGTCGACGGGGTCATCACGACAGATTCATGACAGAGACTTGGGTCGACCGACCTCAATGACAAGTATCAGTCAGCTAGAGGGCATATGTCCAGGCAACTGAGATCACAAATTCATGCCGCCGACTAAATCACTTCCGTGCAAGTAGCCTGATTTCGTTTGCCTGCCTCGCTGCGTAGAGAGAGTAAATGGGGTCGGCTGATGGCACCACATGACGGTCAATTTAGCATAAAAATGTTCGTATTCGTCCAGTTCGTGGTTGCACGCGGGCCAAAATAGTGTCCGGACGCTCGAACCAAGACAGGCAGACGATACGTCTCATCAGTCTTGACCACTAGAAAGCAATGGTTAATGTACGGCTACCAAAGTAGCCCGACTTCTAAGCGACAAGTCACGAGTTGTTCTCGTCCTCAACCAAGAGGGGCGAAACACTGCGTTTATCAGAGCCATGTCCACTGAACAGCTCTACGTACAAGAGGCTGTTAGTGTCCCACAAACATCTTCCAACGCGAAAAGCGGACGAGCAGAGTGTCACTCAACGGAAGTGGCCAGTCTCTTTACGACGTGTTTTACGACCATACATGGGATAGTCGCGCTACTCCTACACTATTTACTTCGGGAGAACTCAACTGAACCGTGTGCAACAGTGGAAACTGGGGTATATATTGGTAGTGCTGAACTATTGATCTGTTCGCCAAGTTTGACTATTGACTTGCAAACGTTTTGTCAGCATACGAGCAAACATCGTCAATGCGTAACACTTTGGTCCACTGTTGTTCTCTTCCTATGGATGTCCACGCCACAACAGGAAAAGAGTAGTCCAAGTAGGTATATAAGGTCAGTGCTGTTACTATTTTAAAAATAAAGAGTGGGCATGTGAACGTTGATCGATATCGTATCCGAACGATCCCCACAGTTTCCAAAGACTTCGAATTCCACAACGACCAGTGCTGTCAAATATAAGCTGAACATGGGCGACTGCAGACGCTGTCCGTTTATTTATGAATCATGTGTCATCAAAGCTGTGCGAAATGTTGGATTTAATGTACCTATGTCATTAATAGAAACTTTTCATATGGTTCCAAAGATTATAGAAAGACTTGCTTACCCCAAAGCTAGCGTCCATGGTGCCTGGTTTGTACTTCAGCCTTCCGTTAACATCTCACGCGAGAATGCGTGACCACACTCCACAAGTATCAGGCGGTGTTGGCCGCAAGCAGTTGCGTGGCAATCGATGTGATTGTATCTCCTAATAAGTATTTCACAGTGAAGGCGTTTGTGTGGATGCAGTGATGCCAACGGTGTGTAAATAGCTAGATTTGTTGTCGTCTTCGAGTCTGTAGATCATGAAAGAACAAAATAGGTGGACGAACTCGAAGACTCCCGTTACTAACTCTTAGCCGGCCCAAGCGTAATGACATTGTGGCTCTATATTGAACAACGAAATACTGCTGGTTTCTTCACGTTCCAGTGTAGTAGGCGCCTTCCTCAAAAAGAAAAGTGTTCTTAGTAACATATATTCGATTAATCGGGCGAAATTCATCGTATCCGAGAGGTCGATCTTAACATCTTCTCCAACTTCGAAATTTTTCCAAATGCACTAGAATTATGTTCGTTTAACAAAGTTTGACCGAATATTCAAAGTTGCGTGAGCGGCAGTCAAACTCAAAATTGGTTGACTTCCACAGATAAGAAATATATGCACAACTAAACAGTCAAACAAAGATATGCCCAACGATGGTTGTTTTTACTAATACTATTAGGATAAGGCAACGTGCTGCGATCTTTTCTCGTTGAAGTCCCCACCTGCTTTAATCGGTTCCGAGATCTTTCAAGTACCAGCGACATCAAAATTCCTGTCCACTTTTTGTCAGTGGTTTATCACCGAAAACTGCAGGCTTTCAGATTGCTGATCATTTGGTTCCCTAGTGGGGAAACTTACCGATATCACTATTTTCTTTACTGCTACCATGGTACCTACTTTGATTTCGTGTTTAAAATTTTCCCCATAGCCTTACGAACGATTGAGCTCACCTGTAGAACAGGTTTTTCTGAAATGTGGCACTGCATTAATATTGCCTGTGAGCGAAAAAAATCGCCAGTCTTTGAAGTCGAACTCCTGGACAGTAGTCTTCAAGTCGCATTTACTTTACCTCTCGAATTTTATTTTGAAACTGAGCCTAGAAAAGTTAAAATATACTTCCATCACCAGAGCTTTCTGCTACACGGAACTGTTATGCAGCTACACCGAGTTCGTTGTAATGAATGGGTTAATGACTAAAGCATAAAACTTGCACCGGTGTTCCGGGTGATAGCGCCACGCATATTGCAACGGTACCCAAAAATTCCTAACTGCGCTTTTGTGGGACGTATCAGAGCTTCTTGTGATTCAACTATCGCTGAGTATGATTTCGCTATCTTTGGACCAAATGAATTTACAGCAGTTATCTGAAGGATATGTGAGCTTGCTGGTTCCAGATTAATCATGTGGGTTTACACCGAAAGTAGAAGTTGAAAATATGCGACAGGCTATCATCATCACCAACTTTATGGCGTAAAAATCGATCAGCCTCACTTCACACCGGCTTGAATTAACATAGCAGGATGATGATTTAAATTATATTGACTGCTTATGCAAATACTATGAATGCAGCCGAAAAGTCAGGCACTGAGATGCAAGGTTTATTGCTGGTACCGATGTATACAAACAGTTGGTCCACTGAACAGAGCGGTGGGGTATCACTGTCAGCGTGTGACGTGAGTGCTCAGCTGATGAAACGTCTGTTCGGCAAGTAACCAATACCGGTTACTTGGTTTCTTGTTCTATTCTGCGGTAGTTTTGTCCGTTGAATGTGTTTTAGAGTTCGCGTGCAAACTTCCGGTTTCCTGGGAAACTAGCTGCACTTTTCTACTGCCCAGATTACCGTAAATTTTTCAGGTACACGCCGTGACCTGTGTTCAAATTCGCAATGAAGTGGGCCTATATGGTGAAGTATGACACAGGTGTGAATATACTCACGTGTTTCCCACGCTTCCCTTTTAGGATGTGCTGTATGGTCTGCGATGTTTTCAGTCAGTTGGGAGATGGTTGGAATCCCTCAAGAAGCAAACATTTCGGAGAAATTTGATAACTGCTCGATGACGTAATTGCCGTTCAACTACTCTCTTCTGACGCAAAAGTTTCTTCGGATCAAGTAAATAACTTACCCGGCTGTCCGAGTTTTAGAGTAGGCAGAAAACCAAAAGGCAAAACCTCCTGCGAATAGTCCATTTATGCAAAGCTGAATGTTAGTTAAAATCTCTTGCTGGTCAATGTGGATGACTGACACTTACGATTGATGGGTTGGGGGAAATCGGGTTTTGTACCCTGTTCTCCCAGAGTGGAACACTTTAGTTGAATATCACACGGGGATGTCGCTCATAAGTTTTATGCATTTGTCTGGATTAGTATACTCTATGACAGCTGGGATGATTGAGTCGATTTTAGTTGCCTTGGGCTTGGCAATTTAAACCCATACCGTCTTAAGGCAACTGAATTCGTCCGAGAGATGCTAAACCCCTACCAGTGTCCCTGAAGTTGGCTGGCAGTGTTTTTAGGTGCGAAGAAGATTGCGAGGAGTGATTTCACCCAATTGAGTGCAGTTCAGTTAGTAAGTCGCGAGTAGGGCATGTGACAAATCGCTGCATCATATGCGCCTCTAGGCAGCGCATTATGTATGCATTGCGTAAACACCGAATTCATGGAAATATTAACCGAATGGATTTTTAGGAGAATGTTGGCAGCTCTGGTAGCATAGCTAGTCGTTGGCTCATTCGCTGAATTGGGCAACTTGGGTACAAACGTTTGATTAGCAGTCGAAATGACGCTATTAGTACGCTGTTACAGAGCGGAACAGTGCCGTGCAGTGCCTCCGTTGCTATGCTCTGAGTGACGATCCATGTGTATCAATAAACACGCTGCTAGTCAGAGCTGATTTTGAGGTACGATTGGTTATTCGGTCGAGAGTTTCTATTGGTTGGTCTGTTATCCTCTGTCCTGACTGGCCGGTTACCACGCGACCCTTGACCTGGGCCTCCCTTGCTGTCGTCGGGGCTCGAGTGACCTCTGTTCTTGATCTCCATGGTCTTCACTTTGTGACCTTCGTTGACATGACTCCTAGATAGCTCCTGTTTCTTGCTCTATTAATCCTAAATTCAACTTTCTCCGCGCATTCCGATCGAGGAGTTGGTCTTTTGCACCTGGTAGTGCACAAATTGAAAATGATTCAAAAATTTTATCATTGAAATCCATTGGTAGAATACCATGTTTCCCGAAAATTCCCTTCTGTGTCTCGTGCCTCCGCATGCAAGGTTTTCACGTCTTCCAGATCGACTTTGTGATCTTCGTTTTCTTTAATGGGGGTTAGGCATAGAAAGTCATGTCCTCTGAAGGCCACACTGTGTTCTTTTGTTCGTGTACACAGTTTCTCTCGGTTTGTTCAAAATAGGACTCGTTGTAGTTGATGCAAGGAATTTGATACACCATGTTCCCCCTATTGTTTTTGGCGACGTTGTCCCTTTTTCCTGAAATCAGTAACCGTAAAGTGATATTCGGCATGTGGAATAAACTGTTTCTTTTTTGACCCAATCATCATCTGACATTTTTTTACTATCCATCATCTGGCAATATTTGAATAGAGGGCTCACTTCCTCCTTCCTTAACTCTGTGGTCCTGCCCCGACTTCTAGAATAGGGTTTCAATGCGACTTTTTTTGTGGTCCATTGGATGGTATCCGTTGTAGTTCAGTATATGATCCGTATGTGACCCTTTCTGGTTTACTAGCACAGAGTGAAAGAGTCCCACAGTGTTTCCGTTCACTAAACCTTCAGGAACGGTAGCTAGTAGTTCTTTTCCGGTTGGATTGTGAAACTGATATCCTTAAACGTAACGGTGAAAAGTTCGTGTGTATTGTGAAACGAACCTCATCTCATGGTGACGAAAGCGTAGATCTGCCGTTTCGGACTGTTGGTTAGTAGTATCACGCGCTCTAATTTCTGCACTGTCGATTCAGTGGTAAATCGTCCTGATGTTGTTGATACCTATCGGTGTTGAGATATTGGTCCATCAAAACTAAAGTATGCATTCATGGTTCCGGGTTCGAATTAGTCCAAAGTTATTGTGTGGAGACGGAATGAGCCAAGTGGTTAGAGCATTACTGACCGGACCGGAAGGTCCGCGGTTCGAACCTGACCTCTGCCTCTCGACTTCCCCTGTTTACGCTTGGGCAACCTGGCAGTATCCCAGCCCTCGTGCCTCCTTCGTGTGGCATGGCAGCTAGGCACCGAAAGGGTGCTACAGCTGAATGATTTATTGTTTTTATTTAAAGTTATTGCGTCATTTTTTCCGGTGAGGATGTGGTTGACTGAACTGGGTAGTGATGTGACATCAAGCCACTACATGATTTTTTTCTTCTTCAACCTCTGAAAACATCTTTTTCAGGCAGCTTTTACTGTTGTGCTTGATTACCAAACACTAAAGTCCTTTGGCTTTCGCATTTTTGTAGTTTTTTTGTTATTACTACCATCATGTTGCTAATCCCAGATATAATCCACACTACAATTTTAATTGGGAATTCGTCCAGTAAGTGAAGCCAAACCATGCTGAAAAGCCCAGGAGCATTGTACAGCTGTGTCGTCCCTATTTGGAATCATCTGCCGTATGAAATGCCAACAGGAAGATCTCAACTTTGCTCACAATATCATCGATCTATAATGAGTTCAGAGTAAGAATACTTCACAAGTTGAGTGAGACTCCCGTCCGGGAAGCCGTCACTCAAGGAGACAATCAACGTGACCATTTGTTGTGGTTTCTCTGATTGAAGGATGAGTGACGTTCTACCCTGTTCAACTGTCAATTCGTCACACTGCTGATCGAGCGCACTTGGCCAAACAGCTAATTGCCCAACGTACTAGTCATGGAATCAGAACTCCCCGGCGTCATGCGAGATATACATTGTCGATGATTTCCAATAAGGAGAAAACAGCTGTACAGTAGTGCTTTTTCGGAATTTCATGATAGACTGGGTTCTCTGACAGGACGAAAACTCCAAATCTCAGCACGCTATAATCTATCGAGAACTCCCCTTATCCAGCTCTGTTCTGATACCTACGCAACCTAAAACCAACTCATTTCCATTCGTCAGAACTCCTGGTGCATTTCGCGTGGTGTATCGCGATACCACAGAGCGATAAGGTTAATGTCCTGACGATATCTGTCATTTTACATCTCATGTGTATGATGGCGATGGTCTGTTTTTTATCGCTGTCTCACGTACGTAATTCCACTGATGCGTGACTATGCTTAAGATGAACAAAACAGATTGGTCTATTAGTCGTATACCTGACAATTACTCGTGACTAGACGTTTCTCAGTGGCCGTGGGACCGTGGAGTAAATCTAACTTATTTCGCAGTTTTGGAATACATACATGAACTTTCGCTCCGTTGGATCTTAAGGCGGTCAGTATAGTCTGCATACAATCAAAAGCCGACAGACGGCAAGCATTCGCCTATAACAAACTGACATGTACCTTTCTCAGTTAGACAAACATGTGCAATCGATAACCTATTTACACAGTGAACTAATAGGAACGGATACGCGTTGGATCTAATTGGGTTTTCAAAGTTAAACCTACCGCATGTGGAAGCTAATTTCAGTTTTTGGATATTCACATTCTTACTGAGCGCAGGGAGAGTTCCGCTGCGGGATACTGGTGAGTCTTCAAGAGGGTAGCCAATAGGTATTTTGCTTACAATACAGCAAACCGAGACCGTTCCAAATTTAGTGGGTTACAGTGTGATCCCCCAATCTGTCTTTCCGTTTCAATTCAGATTGTCGACCTGGTACTATAATGGTGTAAATTTTGGTCTCTTGCAGACTAACAGGAGACTTCGTTTGATTTCTATGCTCACACTTTGCTCCAAGCTTCTTGACAAAAGCAGATATCCGTTCGGTTATCCTTTATTCTCTGCAAGTAGGTGTTTTTGTGCCTACTTCCTGAAAAATGGCCGAACGCTTTCAGGTTCGGTTCACAGATTCCGCCTTGAAAATCGCAGGGGGTACTGCTGTAGCTTCTCAAAGCCTAAAGCTACCCCTAGTCTTTGTCTTATCGTGAATTCGTGATCAAAGGTTTGTTTCGTTGTGATTCCAATTGAGTTTTCTCTCTCTGAAGGGTTATTTACCCGACAAATCTGTCAACCACAGCTTAGTATAAATTCTTTCCGCAGGAGAGGGCGAAATTCCCTTCGTTCGAGGTCTCTTCTATCATGTCTGAAGAAATTCTGCGCAAAAATTAGATATTGCTCCTATTCGTCGCGCATGGATATTTAGCGTGATTCGTAATGGTGTTGAGCAGTTAAGTTCTTTGTGACACAGGGCACGCGCGATCGATGGGGCGCTGGGCAGTAGCAGTGTTAGTCGGGTATGACTTGTACCGAATAGTGCAAGCACGGTATCTGCTAACAGTGTTGTGTGCATCACTTAGGCACGATCCCGAAGTGTCCGTCAACCTTATATCCTCCTTAAACCCTATTTGTAAGAGATTACTAGGATACCCTCGTAATTTAGCCGAAAACTCCGCCTACCCAATTAGTCCCAAGAAGGGTGGAACTGATAATGGCTTGTCAAAGAGTTTTGAGCAACCTCAACTGTAGTGTTCCTTCAAGAATCTTGGACAATGTAGACTCTGATTCATTGATTTTGAATGAATACTTTTCAATATACTTACATTTGATGTTTCTCAAGAAAGGCGATAAGTTTAGGAAACGAAGCAGTTCGAAATGCAGAACACTTTTTGTAAAAGCTACCAATAATTCGTCTGGTTGTCGTTGTTGTGCGCTCTTTACCTCAACTTTTACGGTTTATTCTAGTTTCTCCCTGCATGAAAGCAACTCATACAGTCCACGCGTGAGCACATGATCATCCAAGCAACACAACTTAAAAGCTGTTTATACATCAAAGGCCGCATTCCCCGGAACCAGTTTGACTCGTACCCTAGAAGACCCAAACTTCCCAAGTAACTCCACGTAGTGTTGGCGAGACCGGTGCTTCGGGCATGATCGAAAGGATCCATCGATTAGAACTTTTTAAATCATTGATCATAGTCAGTACGATGATGCACCAGGGAAGGCACAACTTCACTTCGCCATATTTTAAGTTCTCTTGAATGTGCCTTTTGTAGGTCGTTTCCATGGAGTTGACAGTTCAGCGGTTGACTTGTGGCATCTTGGGATTGTCGTCTAAAGTGAACCTTGCGTTGTTTCAACAACATTACTGGTATTCAATTATGTGGCTATCATGTGGGCAATTGTTAGTTTTTTTATGTCCCCGTTTGCATTACGATATGATTTACATGCTCAAATATAATTTCTGACGTTAACCACCTGGCTACGCTATTCTCGGTAGCAGCTACTTTGGGAGGTAGCCTCTCTTATAATGGCGAAAAAATCTGAGACCAGTGTCTGCTTAGAGGATAATCTCCTAAAGGGCAACACCACGTTTTGAAAATTTCCAAGATCAGAAAGTGAATAGGGAAGATGGCTGCGCAACATGTGTTTGAAATTGTGACACCGTTGAATATAAGTGGACGTTTGGGGTCTATTCTGAATTGGACGTCATCACCTGATACACTACCGAAGGAATGCACCATGCAGCAGCACCACCGATATGTAGAAAATTCAGAGTCACTTACTAGAAGCCAGCCGTTTTCTGGCCATCTACCTGAAGGATAACCTTTCTTGACAGAGCACCTTTCAAAACGAAAGGCACAAGATTGTAGAAATATTTCGTGCCACTCTACCCTCTTCAACTAACGATCTGCATGATCCAATCCCCTTTCAAGGTGGACCGGCTCACTAGGAACAAATTTTTACACATAAATCAGCGCGTAGTGGACCAGTCCAACAACAGCAGGAAACATTTGGATAAAGGCATGATAGGTTCTACAGACTGCGCCAAACAGTCACAAAACCTTAATCTACAAAGGCCGATTAAAATCGACACACCATGCTCACCGTTCCCAAAGTTACTATCGCAGCTAAATGAATATAACAGGTCATGAATCGTTCAGCTGCAACACCCTTCCGGTGCCTAGCTGCCATGCCACCAGGAGTGAGCACGAGGGCTGCGATAATACCAGGTTGCCCAACCCTAGACAGAACGAGTCGAGATGTAGAGGTCGGGTACGAACCACGGACCCTTCGGTTAGTAAATTAGCGCTCCAACCACTGAGCCATCTCGCCCCAACGGATCATGAAAGCATATGGTGAGTGTTTTCTTGTGGGTCCCGATTAATAAGGAGTACCTGCAATTAACGGGAGCCTAAATTAAACTGCCAGAATCATAGATTTGCTGTGTTGTGCATGTCTTGCGAAAAAATTGGTAATAGCGACAAATTTTATGCCCTAAAGACGCGGTTACGTACGAATCACTGAACAATCAAGAGTTTCATTAATTTCGGGAAAAAACTGATTTTTTTACAAATACACTCATTTGTCTACCGATCCAGCTTTCAAGACAGACTCACCTGAACTCCGGCTGGATCCCTCGTTTATAATGTTTTTTTAAACAAATGAATGTGCTGCACCAGGCCACCTCATGTTTCAATTGGCATGATATTCGTGATATCGCAATACATTGTACAGACGTAACAGGACACTCCTAAAGTTGCTGAAAACCCTCCGAAAATGAATACCATAGGGGAGAGATTCAGCTGGTTTCCAGGCAAGTCTGCCATGGAAAACAAATTGGTAAAGCGAATGAGTTTACTTGTCAAATTTCATGCAATTTGGGTTCAAATGGAACATGAGGTTGACGGGAACTCTGGAACTGCACCTAATAAATGAGACCTAAGAAATCCAAAACCGGTCGTGTGCTATCGTAGAGTTTTCAGCTACCTTATGAGTAGGGTGTTACATCAATATGGTGACTCATGTTTTATGATCATACTGACAGCCTCCTCTGGGATCCGAACTAGTCACAGAATATTTCCACCTTATCAGCGACTCAGTGTGGCACATCAATGCACTGAAGGCAGCAACATCCAACAGCTGTAACAATATGGCCTAGTTGCATGGCCATACATGATTATCTGGAACCGACAATATCCATTTCGACTTTTTGTTGCTAAAGTAACTTATAACAAACCCCTCCTTTCTGGAGACTTTCACTTCTTCCCTCAGTCCTGCCCGGATTTCTCATCTGTGTCGTGCCACACAGTGATGTTTCTGAGCTTTCTTACTGTCCCGTATAATGTCTTGGCAATTTTTCTGATACTGAGCTGTGGGTTGGTAGATTACCTATCCTCTGTGACACCAAAATAAGCTGTTTGTCGGGCACCACATAACGAACAAACTGGTCGTTTTTGCCTGCAATACGGGCGCTATTCAGAGAGATCAAATGAAATGTAGATATGACCCAAAATTATCGGGTTACTTGGCCATGTGAAGCATGAGTGTCTCTTCATGAAACGAAATATAAGAAGTTTGGAAGGAGGACTAGTCCTTCCAGAAAGTCGTCACTTGGCGGGCCACTGAGCTTGCTTAAGATTCAGTAACTTTGAAAATCGTCTCAAGTGGACAATTTTATCAGTCTAATGTTAAGGGGTTGAGAAGTTTCAGTTTATCAACGCCGAGGACCAGGAATCTGAGTTGGTTTTGATAAGGTCAGAGACAACACTAAGGAGTGTACAGCCACCCACTGGGCTTGTTAGTGTTTCATCCATATATTTCATTTCTTAGCAGAAAAGGAAAGGTTAACTTGGGCAAAGATGTTTTCTAGCGTCCAAATAAATTTTAATTAAAATCTTGGAAGACATCTTTCAGGAAGATACATAAGAAAATTAGGCAAGGGTTTATTTTGGAAAAGTATTAAACAAACGTAACTCAAAAGGTTACCAAGATCCATTGCCCTTCCCAGAGTCTGAAAAATTGATGCAAGATTCCGAGATGACCCCGCTTGAAGACGTTTTCTTCTTCACCTGCACTTCCTTTGCTACTGGGACTCAGATAGAAGTTCGACTACAAACCGTTTGACTGAATCAGTTGTTTTTCAACAGCCCATTCTCATTAAGAACCTAGATAGAGCATGTCGCTCCTCAAACTCGATGCCAGATGACATTGATTCTTCTCCCTTCTCATTACAGCGCCAATTTCTGAAGTTTCCCAATATGCCAACACTTTCAGGTGAGTAGTTTTAGTAGTTTAACCAAAATTTGAATTTTATTTCAGCTAAAATAAGTCAGACTTCATTTTGACCAAGAAGAACCGATATAAACTTTTCGGCATTTAACAAGCACAAAAAAGCAAAGATGTAGCCTAGAAACAATAGGAAAATTTGTTGCAAATACGTTAAGGTTCTGTTAAGAGAAATGGGTCATTTTCATCTCTTCTTATCACGAGTCAAACATAAAAATTACCCTGACGATAAAATCGTCCTAAGTTCGATAATGGGAAAACTGAATTTGATTTCGGCCTACAGCCCGTGTCAAAAATAATGGTTTGCCTGCAGATATCGGATGGCATGATGCATATATCAGTTTGGCACTACTAAATCAGTCAGGAGGTCAAATTAGTAAATTTACATTGAGTACAGTGTGTAGTTTACCGTCATGAAATTTTGAACAAGGACAAACAGCAACCTTGAAAAAGATGAGATCAGCGGACAGATCAATGCGAGTCACTCGATCATCGATGACGATGTGTTTCAGTGTCCATCAACTTATTTTCCCTTGAGAAACACTTTCAGTAGACTGCTTAGATTATCTGATCCAAGATGGATTACTCATAATAGCGCCAAAACTATCCTGCATCTTAAACTGCTCTTCAAATGTTTAAAACCTTATCATAGGGGTAGCTTATCCTAAAGAATACTTATACGAGTGATCAACCGGTGGTAGACCTAATATGTGAACTGAAAGTTATTTTCAGAATATGTATCACTCAATGCGGAAATCTGCATAGGATCTAAAAAGCGAACATCACAGGACATATAAAATGCCTTTCGTTCTTAATGTTACATTGCTGAATGAAAAGACGACCCCTTCAGTCTTTAACGTCAGCTAACAGGTCCAATAACGCATGCGACCACTCGCACAATAGTCAGATGCTGTGGGCTATTGACGGAAAACAACCTTGTTGAAAAAAATAAGTTTTAAGCTTTCTCGTCTGCGAAAAATGCTCCTCTCTGCTGGTGCAATATTGAACTCAGTATGACATGAGACGATTGTACTCAGTACATATTTTTCTCTTCATTTTGGAAGCGCCATCTCATTGGCGAGACCAGCAGACAAGATCACATCGACGAACCAGTCACGTGAGGATTTACTGAATAGTCAAAACCCGCTGCACTATCGATCGGCTGAATGGTGGGTGGGCCCATCAACAGGGATAGATGAAGAGCGACGAGATTTACTCCACTGCCTAATACACGTCTGCTGAATACATGAGTCATACAAATTATTAATCAGCTTCAATCTTCTCTACTGGGCAGGCAGGAGAGAACCGAGCAACCTATAAAATAAAATAGCGTTTCTTTTTCCATCCTGTACTATTCACAAAAATCCGCGCTGCGATGGAATTATGGTCTCATGTTTTTCACCAAACTACGGATTGCGATTAACGTTTCAACGTCAGAACGATGCAATTATCAAGTTGACAATGAGTTATGGTGGACATTCTAATAAACCTAAAACCTTCCAGTTAGGTCAGTTTGGGAAACAGCTGAAGTCAGTCTGAGATTAACGAATCTATTAGTTTAGTGAGTGTTTATTCACTCACTAGTGTTGAACGAAGATATAATATGTGTCGATTAAAAAAAGACAACTGAAAAGATTTTGGTAGACTCACAAAACATGCTCAGTTATTTTCCTCAAAAGGTAATAAAACTAAAAGACTTGAAACGTTGGTTTCAATTCAGCCCGAAACAAAGCTTCAACTACAATTTGCTGGAAAATATAGTTTAAAATTGGTTGGTGCGTATCGGCTTCTTTATGTCTAGCCTATTTCCCATGCAAGTTTGATACTTACATAAGTCCCAACAAGCGCTTGAGTACTTCAAACTTGACATACTGTTTCTGTTCCATTCAAGTCGCAGAAGAAAACGATCTGTTCCTGCAGAACCACCTTCCTGTCTTCCTCGTGGTCTTCGGTCTTTGCGTCCTAGTTTTTTCTATCAGTCTCGCACTGACCTGTAGAAAAAGCAAACATCAACATTACGTCCCCCTCAGAAGACGGCGATCAATGCATTTACCGTCAGTCGTCTGATCGTCTGGAAGGAAGACACAGACCTTTGATGACGTAAGTTTACCGATTTCTCGTTCACGCCGTTTCGCTTCAATTTGTAGCAGGTTTTCCGGGATAACTATCCTTTACATGCAATAGACACCGTTTAAGTTCGCTTAAACTGCTTGCTATGTCCGGTCATCGCTTAGCTAGAGATTCTGTTCAAAACGAAGCTAAGATGAATTAAGGCTAATGAAACGACAGTTGCTACTCATTGCAAAGGTTTAGATGGCAGTTGTGAATACTGGACAAAGCAGAATCACCTCGATTCTCCTTCAGTTTATAAGCATTCTAAGGAATATCGTAGTCTCGTGACCTGCTCAAGGGCAGTTTATCGTTGCTTTCTACTCAACAGAATCTCTCGTTTATGATATCTACAACTGAACTGTGCTGCACACAGACCGTACGGAATCAATATTCACTAAAATTTGCTTCATGAGTAGTCCATCCCCTAAAACTCAGGAAAGTCAAAAAGGGAGTGATGGTCTTTTTACCAGCTTTCTGCTACTTTCCGTAGAAAATTACTTGTAACGCGACGACGGTTGTAGAATACCATAAACGGGAGATTCAGTTGGGTCTCTCATGAAAACCAAATTGATTTGCATATGAGTGTATTTCTCGAAAACAGTGCACTTTGGGTTCAAGTAGATCATAAGGTTGACGGAAGCTCGGGGACTGCGCCTACCTGATGAGCCCCAAGAAGGTCGTGGACTGTCGAAAAGTCTTCAGCGACCCTGTGAGTAGTTTCCTTTACGAAGTGCATCTGTTTTATTTGTCTAGTAGGAGATTCATGTGACGGAAAATTGAGCAGCGGTTTCTTCTAGACCCTTCTTCAAGTTTTTTCAAGAAAAAACTGCAACCACTAAAGCCATTTATTTTTCAACGGTATCGCTTCAGTGGATGCGAGAAAAGAACACTGCACTCAGTAAATAAAATTCACATATTGAATGAAGTGGGCAACCTTTGTTGCTTTTTTGAGGTATGTTCTGCTTATCATCACCAACATTTTGACAGGGGACATTTTTGAATCGAACAAGTGACAGTGTATGCATAGTGAGAGAATAAAAAACAATGTTTATTATTGAAACGTCTGCATGGGGTGTATACGCACATCCATGCTCATGTGCAAACGGTTATTTGAGTTTTTGTTAATTGCAAAGCCCATTGGTCGGCAAGGCGAACGGTGACGCATGTCATCAGTTTACACGGGAAATAGCCAATCACAATGCCTCATTCTCTGGTACATCAGCTGACTTCCAAAAACTGCATTTGTCACTGCAGAACGGTAGGTTTTTAGGTAAACCACGACAAACCGACCTTACCAGTGTTGTTTTTATTTATAAACTAGAACTTTGCCACAATAAGACAACCAAAGTAGTTATTGTTTCTTGGCGCCCAAAATCGAACACACCGCATCATACAATCACCAACTACGTGGGTTTTAATCGGAATAGAGCACTGGAAATGCTGATGAGTCCGTCAGCTCAGCACATCACGCACAGCATATTGTGTACGATTAAACCTGTTTAGCTGATGTCAAAACTGCCACTTTCCATTTATCTTCCAGTCCGTCACATGTCACACCACATGGGCTCAGCAAAATCTGTGATTTTCTAAGGATCTGAGAGCCTAATTTAGTACCGCACAAACTAGTTGTCAGTCTGGCTCAGATTGCTACAAACGAGTGGTCCAACGCAAATAACTTAGTTAAGAGTTATTCTGTTGTGAAATTGGTTATCGTCGGTGGTCCATAAACTACAATAAATCTTCAAAATGTCGGACGAGCTTTCTGATATAATAGAATGGCAAACACCCATTTATTTGATGGCTGAAATGTAGAAATCAAATACGTCACCGACCCATCTGAGATGGAATAAACTAGAGGTAGACTCATTTGCAAATCACTTTGGTTTTCACAATGGATTCAACTGAATCCCCCGTTTATAATATTCCACAACTGAAAGTGCTGCACACAGGCCGCCTCATGTTTCAGTTGGCACGATATTCGAGACATCGCAATATATTTTCATGAGGTTGCTGGAAACTCTTCGACAGCCAACAACCGGCTTCGCCCTTCTTGAGGCTCATCAGGTGGGCGCAGTCCCCGAGCTTCCGTCAACCTTATGATCTACTTGAACCCAAAGTGTACTGTTTTCGAGAAATACACTCATATGCAAATCAATTTGGTTTTCATGAGAGACCCAACTGAATCTCCCGTTTATGGTATTCTACAACCGTCGTCGCGTTACAAGTAATTTTCTACGGAAAGTAGCAGAAAGCTGGTAAAAAGACCATCACTCCCTTTTTGACTTTCCTGAGTTTTAGGGGATGGACTACTCATGAAGCAAATTTTAGTGAATATTGATTCCGTACATCCATTCATTTTGCAAGTAATTAGTGCGTGACATATGAAAAACAGGTGCATCACAAATATTTTGTGAAATTGTTTATCATCAGTAGTTATCATGCTACTTTTACACAAAGTCACTCCACCTCCATCGCCCATCAACCTTTGAATTGGCGTTCTTTCCTAACTGCCAGTCCGTTACATTGTTTTCTACTGATACCATAGCTACCACACTGTATGTGCCACAGATATATCTACGATGTCTTATTGACCAACGCGTGTTGGATTCACACTACAAAGGTCGTGGGTTCGAAACTTCCTGGAATTTCGTGAGATTCCGATTTCTGGTGAAGCTGTGCTGTACAGTGCTTCTCGACTTTTCAGCATAGATTAGTTTCACTTACCGGACAAAGTCTTCAACGAGATGAGAGTAGTGGAAATTTGCTGACTATGCTAATGGGATGGGCACCGAAAACGCGAAACCGAGAGCGAGGTGTCTGCGAAAAACTAGGTTCATACTACAGTGATGCTTGCTTAATGGCATTACGCTGGACAC